AAGCCAGGCAAAGAATATAAACTCTGTCAACAGTCCATGCTGAAGAAAGGAAAAGAAAAGGGGTTTCTGGCTTTGTAGTTTATACCTCAGTACCACCTCAAAAGCAAAAAGCAGTGGATTTTCCACCTGAAAATATGGGGCAACAAGTCTGTAAGAACAGAGCTTCTGAGCAGGACAAAACCATTACCTCCCTGCTGGCTCTGAATTGGATTAGCACTGACCTTGCAGAGCCCAACTAACAATAAGACTTTCCAGCCTCTGGACTGGGAAGGGGATCAAGTCCCCAGAGCCATGGCCATGTTTCCAGGGGACCTGCAACCCCCCCAGCAGTGCTGCAAAGCTTTTCCAAAGGAAAGCTCCACAAAATCCAAGTTCAAACCAACCTTAACACTTGTTTATTAAGTGCAGAACATCCCTCTCGGGCTGACAAAGCCCGGCCATCACCTGTCAACTGTCTCATTCACTGTCTGGAAAGCAAAAGCCAGGCCTCCCTCATTAAAAACCATTGCATAAGGTTAAATAACAAAGGGCCACAGGACACGTGGGCATGTAAAAGTGAACAATCACAAAAATTAATGCTCCTCTCCTCCAGCCTCTTGGTGTCTCAAACACCCCAAAGAGCGCAACCAGCACCTCATTTCCAAGGTCTGCCTGCAACAATGTCCTGGCTCATGCCAAGCACTGGTGTTCAACTTACTGCCACCTCCACCCCACAGCCACCAAAGGGACGCCAGCCTTTCCTGGCTCTGTCCCCACCGGCGGGGCTGGATTCTGCTGCCTGACTGACACTGGAGAGGAAGCTGAGGTCTTGAACCCTTCCCAAGCCTGAGGCTCAGCCCCTGCGGACCTCGCGGGCCAGGACTCCACTTCCCTCACGTCACCATCATCACGCAAGTCCCCTCAGCAGACGAGCTCATGGGAGCCCATGGGTTTCTCACAGCTGAGCCAGCCAAGACCTTCCTTTCCTACAAGAGAGGATGTTTATGCTGCAACATGCTAAGCGACATGGTCTGACTGCAGCAGAGAAGGCAGGTGTCACCAGGGGACTGCCTGGAAAATGCAACTGTCACCAATCTTCCAGCAGAATACAGACTGCATGGGCACCTGGGAAAGCTTCCTGGACACATGGAGAACATTTGTCTTTCTGGAACCAAAGAAGCCAGTTTAAAGTCTTGAAAGAACTAATTGGATTCCTCTACTCCAAGAGCAAACTCTCCTTAGTGTAGGCCACAAAAGAAATCACGGACATCTTGCTCCATGTAGCATTTTGAGACACCTTGCAAAGTCTGACCTACAAGCTTCAGCTTATCTGAAGAACCACTTCCTAAATGACACAGTGCGGGATCACCTGGAGTGCACCCATGTGCTGCAGGCTTCCCTGCAGGAGGCAGGAGACACATAACGCACTCACACCCTGCACTCTGCATCCCAATTCCCTCTCTGGCCCAGCAGGACTGGGGGGAATCACAGCTCTGATCCAAGACAAGCCTTGAAAAGGCAGCCCCACGTCTCACCCTGGCAGCTGATGGGGTAGTGAAGACAAGGCAAGAGAGAGCCGGGAACATTTCAGCATGATGCATGCTCTGCAGGAAGCTTTTTTAAAAGGCAGTTATTAAGAATAATGCATCACCAGAACATGCAAGGGAGGGGCTGGCCAACAGGAAGGGCTGCAGCCTGCGCAGGCATTCAGAATTCCCCAGGAGATGGAGGGCAGCTTAGCGGGAATGTGGGAGCCAGGCAGAGAGCCCCAAGACTCAGCTGGCCCAGCAGAAAGTCACCTTTACACCTTCCTCACAGCCAAGTCCTACTTCTTTCTCCCCGGTGACAGACCAGCTGGAGACACAGACTGCCCATAGGAAGTATAAACATCCAGTGAAATGAAACCCCAAAACTATTTATAAGTATGCAGCTTTTCTAACAGGAAGGTAACTTGTTCTCCAGCAGAATCCTTGAGCTGCTGACACTGGCTCCTGCTCCTCCCTTTCCAGCTCCCAGGGTAGAGCAGGACCAAAGCAGTCTCCAAACCACGCCACGTCTGGTCTGGGCTCAATTTCACAGCTTCTCACTGCACCCAAGACAAGCCAAGTCTGCCAGTCAAAGCTCAATTACAGGGCTGTGGGCAGAGCTGCTCCCACAAGCTCCGAGGAAAAAGCCGTTATAAGCACATGAAGGAAGCTCCTGCATTGGCACCCGAGTCTCCCCCCTCTCAGCAGCACTGTGAGGGAAGAGGGTTTGAGTCCTGATGCAGCTGGAAGTCACAGGAGTAGCACAAGGCAAACCAGGCCACTGCACCCTGGTACCAAACCTCACGTTCACCAGCCCTGCTGAGCCAAAGGAGAGCATCTCTTACACAGCCCTGAGCTCTGCCTCTCTCCTGTACACACCCAAGAAGGAGCAAAGCACAGCAAGGCTTGCTGCTCACCCGAGGCTTCCTCACCACCTCCAGGAAGCCTTTAATGCCTGTAGTGCTGCAGCTCTTCTACCTGAAAAGCACAGATAAACAGCTTCCTCCCCAGACTGGCTCATGCAAGCACTGGTCCTTCTAGCAGGTTGTAAAGCCCCCAGACTGGATGCTAGGCACATACCTGGATGGAGCAGCCAAAGCAAAGGCTTGCTGTTCCAGCACAGCTCATCAGGGCTCCTCCTGGCCAGGAATACCACAGGGGGCAGGGGGAGAAAACTACAGAGCACCATCAGGCCTGAGTCCAGTAAAGATGTTTACAGGCAGTTGCTCTCAGACATGGTCTCTTCCAGCCCAGTGGGGCTGGAGGGGGTGGGAGGAAAACACTGATTGTCAGTGAGCACAGCCCTCATGTCATTCCCATTGATCCGCTGAGTCACTCCCGTATGAACAGTTTTGACCACCCTGGGGCTGCACAGGAGCTTGGCAGGGGAATACAGAGCATGAGGTGATGCAAAGCCTCCCCACGTACCGACACCAGCAGAGACAAGCACTCGCAGGGAAGCACCCAGAAACCTGCTGCACTGCAAGTGCCAACTTCCTCCTCTCTGCTCGCTCTGCTCAAGAGTGCTGCAACAACGAAAAGCAACCCCAAACCCACTGCAAGGGCAGAGCACAGAGCTCCATTCAGTAGGACCAGAGAAACTGCTGCACGAAAGAAAGTCTCCCCTGCAAACCACCAACTGCACCCCAGTTGTTTTGATGCAACTGCAAACCAGAACAGCAGCTGGTTTGGCAAAGAACCAACACAACTGATTGATAAGGCCTTACAGATTTGTAAGCTAATGAGAAGGAGATCAAACCCTGAGCAGACAGACATGGGAGGGCAGCTGTCCCTCCAAGCTAAGGAGACAATCCCCCCAGGGAGAACTGGGGGCTCCCCAAGTGCACAAACCACCACAGACCCCAGAGAAGCTGCTACCAGCCAGGTGGCAGGTTGGGGTTAGATCATCCTCATCCACACAAGACTACAACCCACCCAAAGGCCCAAAAGGTGCCAAGCAGCAACAAAACCATCACCAAACGATGCTCCTCCCCATCGCACCGAATTCAACCAAAACCAAGGCAGCTTTGGCAAGTTCCTCCCAGCAGTCGAGCCCATCCCGCCACAGAGAAGGCCTCTCCACAGGATCCCCACGGAGGCCTCCTGCCCTAATTTACAGCAATTCTTTTTCAGACACACTGGCAAACACCAAACGTTGTCTCCAGTCTGTTATATAAGGCCCGATTTTGAAAGCTCTGTGCCGGAGATGGGGGCTCACTGCGTGTGGCAGGGCGATGGGACAGTCCAGCTGGGAAAGGGACACACACACTCCTCAGAATGCACCTCCAGATGCCAACCACTTGTTGTACAGAAGGAAAACGAAGGGATTAGTTCATGAGGCAACTTCCAAACACACCGGTGCAAACCACTCACCAGCCTGCTGCTGTTTCACGCAGGGTTTCACCTGGGTCCCTGTTACCTGTAGTTTGCTCAGAACACGTTCATTTCATGGCAACTTGAAAGAGGTTTAACGAAGTTTGGGTTTTAACTCCAGAAATACACAGCAGGTCCTCGTGCTGCCCAGAGCCATTCCTCAAAAGAAAAGACACCTTCCCAAATATCCCCCCCCCCCCCAACTTCACATTCTTTGCCCCCCACCCCAAGAGCCTCACTCAGTTCCCTCTGCCAGTCACCAAACAGGAGGCACAGGCCTCTGGCGGCCTGGCTCCAGAGGAGAGCTGCTTCTCCTCCTCAAACCTCTTTTCTTGGCTGCCTTAGGAAGGGATAAAGTCAGCTCCTGTTTGGTGGGGGCAGAAGGGGGAGGGTTATTTTTCCTGTTTCTCACATTCACCCTCACTCACTTTGCTAAAGAAAAAAAAAAAAGCTATTTTAAATACCAGATTCAGCACGCTCCCTTTCCCCAAATAAACACTTCCCAAGCCCTCTGGAGAGAGGAAAGCCACATACAAAGGAGCCAACATCCTGCGAGGCTCCGGCTCCACCGGGCAGGCCGGGGCAGGGCGCGGGCCCGGCGGACACAACGGGGGCAGGCCCGGCCCCATCCCTGACACCGACCCGGCCCTAAGGAGGTCTTGGGAGAGGGGGGACCGCGATCCCCGATGGACCCGAACCCCTTCCCCAGAGCCATGAAACAGGCACGGCCGAGAGGAAACGGAGCCAGGCGGCGCTGGGCCCTCCGGCCCGGCCCAACCCGAACCCCACAGCCCCTTCAGATCCCCGGGCCCAGCCTGACTCCCCCAGGCCCAGCCACACACCCCCCCCTAGCCCCACCACCCCCGCGCCCCCCCCCCCCCCCCCGGCCATGCCTGGGCCTCCCCACAGCACCTACCTCGCCCCGTGGCCCCTCCAGCTCTCCGGGCCCTGCCCGGTGCCCACAGCCCCCCAGCCAGCGCCCCGGGCCCGGCCCCCGCCAGCCCCCGCCTGCGGCACCGCCCGGCCCGGCCCGGCCCCCCCACTCCCCGGCACTGCCCGGTCCCGGCCAGGGGCGAACCGCAGCAACAGGGCACGGCCCCGGGGCCCCGCGGCAGCCGTTACCTCGGCGGGCCCTCAGCGGCGGGCCCCGCTGCCGCTGCCCCGCGGCCGCCTGCCCATGGCGGCGCCCCCGGCCCGGCTCGCCTCACGCCGCCTCTCGCCTCCCCTCACCACTCCGCCGCCAGCCAGCCAAAACGCTACGCCGTCGGCGTAGGCTCCGCAAGCACCCATACGCCCCCCGCCAAGCCGCCGGCGTAAGCGCCCTTCCTGAATACCAACTCCAAAGCGGAAAGGCCCGGCGCAAGCGCAGCCGACAAGAGGGTGGTGGCGCAACGGCGTTGGCGTAAAGTGAGTTGGAGAATAGGAGGCTTGAGGCGAGCGACGTGAGGGAGGCTTTGCGGCAGCGAGGGGGCACTTTACGGCAGGACCGCGCTTGGCGGCTGCTGGCGGAGTCACCGTTTAACTCCGTGGTGCCCGGAGGTCGGAGCGCTCCGGTACCGGCCGTGGGGACAGGCCCCGGTACCGGCCGTGCACCGCTGTAGGGTGAGCTGCAGCCCCGGTGTGGGGTGATCGGTGTGGGATCAGGGAATAACCGGGGTGGAAAAGACCTTTAAGAGCATCAAATCCAACCGTGCCCAGCCCTGCCAAGGCCACCCCTGACCCATGCCACTGAGGCCTCGTCTCCACGGGGTGTGAACACTTGCAGGGACGGTGACTGCAGCCCTGCCCTGGGCAGCCTGTTCCAATGCCTGAGCACCCTCTGGGGCAGGAATTGTTCCTCAGCTCCATCTAAACCTGCCCTGGTGCAGCTTGAGGCCGTTTCCTCTTGTCCCATCCCTTGTTCCTTGGGAGCAGAGCCCAGCCCCTCCTGGCTCCAGCCTCCTCTCAGGCACTTGTAGGGAGCCATCAGGTCCCCCCTGAGCCTTCTCTTCCCCATTGGAACCCCCCCAGGTCCCTCAGCCGCTCCCCATCACGCTTGAGCTCCAGGCCCTGCTCCAGCTCCAGTGCCCTTCTCTGGCCCCGCTCCAGCACCTCAATGTGTCTCAGAGTGAGGGGACAGTGTGGGATGTATTGACCCAGGTATAGAGGACAGGCCCTGATACACAGCTGAACACACCACTACAGCAGAGCCCTGCATTGTTTAATATCTCCATCAGCAACACAGTGGGATCGAGCACACCCAGCAAGCTCAAGGACAGCGCTGAACTGTGTAGCGTGGGTGACACACTGGATGGAAGGGATGGGAACCTAGACAGGCTGGAACCTCATGGAGTTCAAGAAGGCCAAGGGCAAGGGCAGGAGAAAGAGCTCAATGCTGGTGCTTGGGAGATGGGATCTTCTCAGCACCACCCACACCTCTGCTATTCATTCCCTTCATAGGGCGCAATAGCAGCACCTTTGGTAAATGCTTACTGGGCACCTGTAAGAGTACAAAGCACATTGTGCTGCTGTCACACCTGTCCCAGCACACAGGATGAGCTTCAGCCATAAACACACTGTTGTTTTAAAGGAAAGAAAAAACAACATCAGGTGGGAGATACTGGAGGGAAACAGATTTCACCATTTCCCTCTGCCAGATCACTGTGGTTACCTAGGAACAGACTTCTCTGGTGCAGCCAGTTCTTCTCATCAAGCACAGGATGAGCATTTATTGTCTTGTGATCAGGAGAAAAAAAACAAACCACAAACAAACCTCAGAGCTCCACAAGTGACAGGAAACATCGCACACAGACACGCCACGTGCCGCCGAGCACGACCAGGAGTCCAGGTTAATGGTGTTAGAAATCTAATGTAAACACTTAAAAATGTACAGAATCCCAAAGAAAAAATAAACCTAACCCACCCCAAATATGCCATGTTCAGGCAGAGTGTTGTCAGCTTTCTGGAATTACAGTTCCTGGCACTGAAGAGGATGGAGGGGGGATGAAAGGTGGCAGATCCCAGCCAGAGAGGTTCATCCAAGCTCTGTGGAGATCTTGGCAGTGTATATGAATGGGGCACGAGTTTGGTGTTCTGCTCCAACCATTTTAGTGGGCTCCTCTCTGGCATCAAGCATTTTCAATATGACTGGGGATGGGTACTTCAAAACAACACCAAGGGGGAAAAAACCCCAAGGTGAAGCAGGATGTGGAGTCCCCAGCACTGCTGCTCAGCTTGGTTCCTCTGAAACCTCCAACCTCACACACTAAAAAAGCACAGACACCAATTCCTTCTGAAGAACTTTGGCAAGAGGCTGAGGATGGCAAGGGGCAGGGCTGGAGGGAGCATGGCACTCTGGAGCACCGTGTTCCAGCTTCCAGACATGGCCAGTCTTGGTTTAATGAGCCGCATTAAACCCTCCTCGCTCCCCTGTAGTGCAATTGTATTTCCAGGGAGTTAGTCACCAGGCAGGTCTCCTACCATTGATGGCAAAGCAACAAAGAAAATCACGCTTGACACAAGACAAAGGCACCTAAAAGCTTAACAATGGGGTCGGGTTGTGTTCTGGTAAATTCAAGCACATTGCACATTCACAAGGCAAAAGCCCTCACGCTGTGTTCCCAGCTCATGGAACCCCCAAGCATGAGGCAGGGGCTGCAGCAGGATGGTGATGGTGCTCTGCCCTCTGGGTCACGGTCACTTTGGCCCTAGTACCAAAGGTGTCACGCAGCCTCCGAGCTGTTCTGCACTCAGTATTTACAGTGTGACACAGGAAAAGTTAATAGAGCATTTGGGGAGTTGTGCAGGGGCAGTGGGGAAGGAAGAGTGCTGCTTTGTGAACGATTAATTCTTTAGATAAGGCACATGGAGAGACAGTTTTCAAAAGATCACTTGCAAATCAGTTCCACTGAGCCAGGACAACCTCCCTGGCCCTTTCCAGGAGCCAAGGTTGTTTTCCAGTTACTCAGTGTAACTGCAACACCTCTGGCAGCCTGTTGGCAGCCTCTGGGTCTGACCCACGGGGTGCCCAACACCTCCCAAGCCTCTGCAATGGACCACTGTGTCCTTTACAGGACTATTGGCCAGAACTTTCAGAGCCAAAGACTCTGAACTCTCACTTCCTATAAAAAAATCTTGGGAATTGACCTTCCAGTTTTGATGTTTGAAAAAATAAAATAATAAAAAGAAATTCACAGCAAGCTGTTGAAGGGGAAGAAAAAACTGCAGGATCTGACTGCAGCAGGATCTGCTGCCTGGAGGACACGGGGGAATTGGATGGCTCAGACTCCAGGAGTCCTGATGTGCATGCACAGAACAGAGATGAACAATGAGATGGATGCTGCCTCTCAGGGAAAACAATCCCTGCCAACAACTCTATCCTCTCTCAAGCTGCTTCTTGGAGAAAGGCAAGAATCAGTCTCTCCCTGCTCATACATGGAAGGAAAGTGCTGCTGGCTACACAGACACAGACCAGGTCTGCCCAGTAACACCAGTTACAAGGACTAACAAGCTTTCCTTTGCCTACCAGACCCCGCTGTGTGTTTGGATTTCAACTACATCCATAGAAGGCAGAATTCAAACTATTCATTGTAATAGAATTATTCCCAAACCACAGTGGGGGCCCAGCACTGAGATCAACAATTATCTTGCATCTGGGGGGGAGCTCAGAAAACAGGGTGTCCCAACAAAGCAAGATGTGCCTAGTAGGGCATTCCTTGGGTCAGCACAAAACCTGGATGCCACATAAGTGGGATGGCACAGAGATCTTGTGCTGCCTATCTGTGATGGAGTGACCATCCCCCAGGCAGCCAGCTCCAAAGCCCAGCATCAGCCAGGTTCTCAGTAATGTTCAGTGGGCTTTGAATCAGGCTTTTAGCAAGCAATCATTAACCAAATGAAATGAACCTACACCTCTGAAGCATACAGATCCTTTTGGCAGCAGAGAAAACAAGACTCCTAAGCATAACAATAGTCCTAGCCAGGCAAATGAGGACTCTTGTGGACTTCCCATCAGAACAACACTCACCCACAGCAAGCACCGTTATCTACAGGATTCTTCACCAGAGTGTGCAAACAAATGAGGCTGTAGATATTACAATACCTTCGATATCACTAGTACCAAATAATTTAGGTGTTGCATTTCCCTTAGAGTGAAAAATTCCAGATTATTCATCCAGGAGAGTAAACACCAGTTGCTACTAATGCTCTGATTGCATTTGTTAAGGACGACTCAGGTAGCGGTAGCTGATGAAGACTGAGCAGCGAAGGCAGAAGGAGCAGTTGTGATAGTGTGTGCCATCGTGGGGAAGTGAAGCCTCTTCACATAGGGTCACAAGAGGATTCCCTCAAGCAAGGACAGGGAATGGTTGGTTCCTCAGTCTGCAGCGAGGCAAATACTGGTAATTCAACACAAACAAAAGACTTTCTGATAAGGCCGTGCAGTGCTCTGGAGGTGGCAGGGGCTGACAGCATCTATCTGCTGCAGAGATGAGGAGGCAAAAACCAAAAGAGTCCCCAAGGTGACTGGGGTGCTTGGGGAGGAATGCAAACGATCTTTTCCAATAACAATAATAAAAAAGACCAAAAAGAAGAGAATCCAGGCAGTTTGCAGCTCGTGCTGCTTAAGGCCATTGGTTTCCCGGGGGATAGTTGGGTACTGTGGGATACTCTGGCAGGCTGTTCCCAGAAAAATTGCTGTACTGGGCCTCCCTGCTGGGGGGGTTCCTCCACGTGCCGCTGTTCCACTCATCCTGAGCTTTCTGAAAGCTTCCACCAGCCCCTCGGTAGATTTTATGTACCTAATGGATGAAAGAGAGGGATCAAGAAGAAGGTCAGCAACACGCACCCATACCTCTCTCCTCAGAAGAGCTGTAGCTACTTTGGTACTGCAGCATGAATTTGCTTCTCTCTCTGTAAAGAGCTGTTATTTCCATGGCACAATAGCATTAAGACTGTAATAATACAGTGAACAGAGGTGTAAATTGATAGTATCAACCCAAGACTTGAACCCAGTACAGCTGCAAGTGTGGGATTCAGGTCGGGGAACCCACAGCAAGGCCAGTGGGCTGAAACCTCTCTAGAACTGACTCTGCTGCTTCAGCAGGGCTTCCACCTTCCCTCCTCCTCTGCCATCAGCCTACTGAAGTGTTCCAGACCTACCTCCACATCCTGCTGAGAGAACCAAGGACCGCTTCCAATCCTGCCAGCCATTGCTCATTGCAGGCCATCTCAAGATGCTTCACCTTTACCATCAACGACTATCCTAATAAGCAATGAAGCTTGCTTCGAGTGCTGTGACAGGGTGACAACATCCAGCCCCAGCTGCCTAGTGTTATATGGACTTCTCCTCTAGAAGAGACACCAACTGACTGCTGTATAAAACCTTCAAAGCAGTGATGCCTTACAGTGGCTGCTAAGCTGCCTGTTCACATCACTGTGATACAAAGTGCAGACAGGCCAAATCAGAGACACACATAAAGCACCTACCCTTATAATGCTGACGAGCATCGCAACCGCTGACATCGTGAACATGATGGCAGGAAAGAGCATAAACACAGCAGCTGCAATGTTGGTGCTGAAGAAAGTAATGGCTGCCAACCATCCACTGGAAGAAGCACAAATAAAGGAACAATATCATGACAGCTCTCACTTTAAAGTGCCCTTATCACCAGAAAACATGGTTACTCATACCCAGAAATTAGACGGTAGCTTCAAAGCTCTTGAAAATGAAAAGAACAATGAAGACCTCAGAGCAGCCTTCCAGTATCTGAAGGGGGCCTATAGGGATGCTGGGGAGGGACTCTTCATTAGGGATTGTAGTGATAGGAGAAGGGGTAACAGGTTAAAACTTAAACAGGGGAAGTTTAGATTGGATCTAAGGAGGAAATTCTTTCCTGTTAGGGTGGTGAGGCACTGGAATGGGTTGCCCAGGGAGGTTGTGAATGCTCCATCCCTGGCAGTGTTCAAGATCAGGTTGGATGAAGCCTTGGGTGAGATGGTTCAGTGTGAGGTGTCCCTGCCCATGGCAGGGGGGGTTGGAACTTGATGATATTAAGGTCCTTTCCAACCCTAACTATTCTATGATTCTATGATTCTAAAATGGACAGGATTAAACTGAGCTCAGGCAGGTACTTCTCCAAGCCCTCAAATCTCACTTGCCAGCATCCTTCCCTAACCCAGCCTCAGCCCTGGGGACAGCCAGCTGCACAGGCTTTGCACAGAGCAGGTTTATTCCTAAGGTGCTTTTGGTTGTGCAGAGGTCATGTGTCCAGAGACCAGAACTGGGATCAGGGAACGTGAGGGCCCTGGGATTTACACTGCATCCCTACTCCTCTGATGGCAATAACCAGGTAGGGCAACTGGAGAACACTGGAGAAAACAAAATGCTATATGGAGTGCTTGGACTTTCTCTTGTCATTTCAGCAGCAACTGCTCTCAAGTGTCTACAGACAGGAAGTTAAAATGCCAAACAATTATAAGCAGGGACAGCCACTGAAGTCCCATTTATTTTAAGACAACTCTGACAATACTTCCTCTATAGGCCAACAGTGAGTCATCCCACACTGCTCACCATGTGCTATGAGGACACCGAGGGCAAGGCTAAGAGAAGATGAATCTTGCCACTGGCCAGTTAAAAAGGAATGGACATTGCAGGAAGATGCTAAAAAGGACAAGCAGGTAATAAGATATCTGAGTTCTGTCAATACAGCAATGAAAACACAGCTGTGTACTCCAAGAGCGGGTATAACTATGCCACAGAAGAAACCAGAAAGCTTCTTCCACTTCACTTTCTACAGACTCCCACCAGTTTCTCAAAAGTTCATGGAAGCAGCCCACAGCCTGAAACTCTCAGGCCCGGGAGCTGAGTGCTGAGCTCCAGGGCTGAAGGATGCTGCTTACCAGGCTCCCCAGCCGGAGAATCCGATAGCCTGCAGGAGTGTGAGGATGAACTGTGCACCAAAGATGAAGAAAAAGGCCATGAAATTAAAGGAGCTGTCTGACCTGTGGAGGAAGAGAGGAAGTGAGTGAGGGGGAGACAGGCACCTCACGTGGCTTCACACCGGGTGTTTGACCCCATCACACACAAATGTGGTACCTCAGAAGAGGTCCCTTTGCAGCTGTGTACTTTGAAGGCTACTCCTCTCTCCCTAGCAGAGAAAGCACACAGACCCATGAATCATCAGTGCCTCATCTCTTCCAATAAGCCTGGCTCCTGCAATAGCTCTACCAGAGCAATTGCATATGTGATGACACATGAGGAGAGACAGTCTCCAGCAGAACAGAGGGCCTGAATCATTTCTCTGACCACCCATCTCCAGTCAGCACAGCCTGACACCTGAGCAGCTCAACCACTAGCAAGCAGGAACAAGGGGGCTGAACACTGGCAGGCAGTGGCCCCATACACTCAAAGTGATAACCGAGCATGAGAATTCCAGCTGGGAATGTCTCACTGGCTGCTCGTCATCACATTTATACACCCATGGTTAACGTCCAGCACTGGGACATAATAGGAGGAAAAACAGCCACAGGAGAAGCGGGTGGTACCCTGGCTGGGGAAATGCAGAAGCAGGCTTTGACATCTCTGCAGCTCCACATCTTCAGGATGCACAGGCTGAAAGCATCCCAAATATGTGAGGTCCTTTAATTTATGCAGGTGCAACAGGCAGATGACCATGGACACAAGGCAGCTGACCAGTTACTTTGAGGGTCTCTCTATCAGGGGTACACTGGGCACTCTCCTCTCCTGCCCAAGTTTGGGCTCTGCCACAGGACTGCAGCAGAACATCTTCATCCCATTATCCCAGCTATGTCAGGCACATCTAAGACTTCCAAACTATCATTTTTAATGGTACAAACATTTCCCTTTCTCTCAGGAACTAAAAAGGCCCATGATTTACAGAAGAGATTTACAAAAAACACTTCAGTTGCTTATGAGGCAGCTTAGTGCAAGGGGGAGTTTACAAAAGAGCTCCAGCCATTCCCAGCTCCTGCTGAAGCTCTAAAAGTATTGAAATCTTTATGATTTTATTATCATTATTTTTTATGATTTTATTATCATTTATTATCATAATATCATATGATATTATTATCATTTCTTAGTATTCTAATCCTAGCCCCTGCTGCCTAAAGAGATGAGGAAGGAAGGACCCCAGGCTCTGAAGAGGCCAAGCAGGGGATCCTGGCTAGTCTGAGACAAGTGGAAAAGCCTCCAGCCACTCCGAGCCACGTGTCGGTCAGAGATGCTGGGAAAGAAATCTGTATCCTCATGATCCCACCCTTCAAATATCACCTCAGCATACAGCAATATGAAAGAAATACTTTCAACATGGCCTGTTCACAGGAGTGCCTATCATAATCCAATTAACAAGGATTAGGCTCAAGGCTGAGCCTTCAAACACTCTTGCAACTACAACCTGAAAAGGCTGCAGGAGCCTTGGTTTGAAAGGATCTGTGGGAATTAGTGAGAATATCCAGAAAAGGTGATTTCAGCTGCAGCTTTCTGGTGCACATTTGCAGCAGCTTTGCCCTAGCACCAAAGCTCCGCAGCTGATTTCATTCTGGGTGCAGATGTGTGACAAAGCCTTTCCAGAAGCATCCTCCCAGCACGAGGCCCAGGGCAGCCTGTGCCCAGAACCAGAGGCAGCGAGTGGCTCTACCCTCACCGTCCTCATCCACCACTAGCTGTGATCCCCCAGTAACCTCCTGCCCCACTGCAGTGGTTTGCAAGCCTTTTCTACAGCTGATGACAAAGATCTCTGGGCTTGCCAGGCTGTCCCTAGGCCTTATTGGTTTTTTAACTGTAGAAGTCTTTACACAGAATAACCTCGGGGACCTTTCAGAATTCAGCTGCTTAAATGCATACAAACATTGGAGAAATCATTAGAAACAGTCCTTGGGAAGCCCAGAGGAGGTCAGTGGGGAGGAGTGATCTCTCCCAGACTTCAGAATGGAAACTGCTCTTTGCAGCACTTGGAGGCACTCGGGCTTCTGAACTAGGGATGGGGACAAAACCCCAGCTCCAGAGGGCAAGAGTTCAGAGCTTCTGTTTTCACGTCTTAAAGCTTTCAGAGTAATCCAACCCAGTGGCCTTCCATCTCCACCAGAAGGAATCCTCCCCTGTGCTCCATGAGGCAGTCACTGGTGGGTTAAGTCCCACCAGCACAAATGCCCAAGTGCTGTTTGCACACAAAACATAACTTCAGAAGAACATTTAAAGAACTAATTCAGCATGTACTGAATCGATAGGGCCCCACCTGCCAACCCCATTCCTGTCAACTGCTTTGGCTGTAATTTAAAGCAATTCCTCACAGTATCTGGTGAATAATCAAAATCCAGAGTATTCTGGTAATGGGGAACTAGAAAGAGCTTCACCTTCAGAGCCCAAATCCCTGACTGGGGTCTGGGGTCTGCTGGTGACCTGCAGTGTGACACAGGGCAGTTCCCTCCCTCCTCTGTGCCAGGCTGAAAACTGCTTGGGACCTTCATGGCTGTGACAAGCATCATGTATTGCCATGGGAATGATGCCTTGTGATCCACAGCGAGATGAGCAAATGCAAATGTTAGTAATTAAAGTGAAAATGTAGCATGGCTTTAAACAGTTGTGGAGTTTCAGAAGGGCTCGCTCCAGGGAACTGCTTTCATCTAGAAAGCAAAGCAGCCAAGCTCTCAAATACCTAGAGACAAACCCCACCAGAGTGCTCAAAAACTAATAACTTAATAGTTTGCCATCAAAATAAACCTCAGTGAAGCTTTAACAAATTAACATCTATCTTAATGCTACCCTGATATGAGGCTGCTGCTAAGCTTGAAGTGTTTAAGTAAAATCTGAATTTTACCCTCATGGAAGTGGCAAACCACTCACTGCTGCCCACCTCCAACCCGAGGCAGGTGACCTTCAGTCCTACGTCTAGGATTGAGAAGTAACCACATTCTTCTTCAGTTTGAAAGGAACCAAGACATTCAGATATCAAGTCCTTAACTTTATCCCAGACAGAGACATCCACAGGAGCTCTCCCCAGCAACATCCCTCTCCCTCAGAGGGAACTGAAACTAAACCACCTCTACTCACCGAAAGGCTTTGTAGGCAGGTCGGAACCAGCAGACGTAGCCACAGGGACTGAAGAGGATAAGCCAGAGGATGGCCAGACCAAAATTGACCCCGTAGCCTCCTCCGATCCACCATGCCAGGCACGCAATGATATTCACTACTAGTGTGATGCAGTAAACTGTAACAGGGACAGAGGAAAGACCGTGAGTTGTGCAGTTCCACATCTTCATGCAAAAAGGAAACAAAAACCCGGAATTACAATAGGAAGGGTCCATGCTGCAGTGGGAAACTCAAGCCCAGTAATCCAGCTTCCCCAAGGGAGTCTCAGGATCCTGCATGGCCCCAAGAGCTGGCAGCAGAGACACATCCATTTCCTGAGGGAGTGCTGCGGCAGAACGATGAGGAAACTCTTTTGGGACCTGCCAAAGGATGGCTAGCAAAGAGTGCGAGCAATACAAGACTCAGGCAGGTATTATGATGACTTAAAAGCAAGGTTTAATTCCCACTTGGAGCAAAACCCCTTTCGAGAGGAGAGGGATGTAAAACACTGCCCTGCACCCAGCCTCAATGTGACTTTGGTCTCTGTGCTTGCTGAGGCTGCCTCAAGAGCTCTTACAGAGCCAGCACGCTGCCTTGTGGGCTCACTCTCTGCTTCCCTGAGCCCCTGAGGAACCCTGGAAGTTAACTTCAGGGCTTGAAAGTGCTGCCTTGAGCGAGGGAGAAAGCAAACTCCAATTAAGCTGAGAACATGGGACCATAGGGGTGGCTTAAAGGCCCTTTCACATCCCTGTTCCTGCCGCTTGGATAAAAAGATATAGTTGACAACGGCCCCCAGAGCAAACCAGCGCTGGGCTAAGTAGACATGAACAAAGAGATGCTGCTCCCCCCTTTCCCTGAAGCTGATCATCCCTGCAGATGGGGGCTGCACACTTCTGAGCTTCTACAGTTGACCTCCGTGCAAGAGGCTCTCTGCTTTCCTCCATGTGCTTCTCTCAGTGCCCCAGGGACTCCCTGCAGTGTCCTTGCACCCCCAAGCTCTGCCAGTGTCGAAGGGGCTTGGCACAATTACAAGCTCCTGCTCTGGAAAACAGATGACAACTCTTAAAAATTTTGTGGTAACCTGTGAGGGTGCTGAGGCGCTGGCACAGGGTGCCCAGAGAAGCTGTGGCTGCCCCATCCCTGGCAGTGTTCAAGGCCAGGTTGGACACAGGGGCTTGGAGCAACCTGCTCCAGTGGAAGTGGTCCCTGCCTGTGGCAGGGGTTGGAACTGGAAGAGCTTTATGGTCCCTTCCAACCCAAACCAGGCTGGGATTCTAAGAACCTCTATCAATTAGCACACAAAAAATGAGAAGGTGGAGGGTCCAAGACCCTTGGGTCCCACTTGGTGATGAGCTCACAGGAACACTTTAGGCCCTGGCCTCATTTGTTCAGTCAAAATTAAATCCCTGTATTCCTCTCACCCATGGGAAGTCCACATGCTCTGCCCATTCCTTGCTTCACTGCATGTGGTGCTCTGCATCATGCCTGCACGTCACGGTCCAGCCTGGCCCCTCCTTCTGACTTCTATTTCCTCCTCTTGGCACAGACCCACCTGCCTCCAGCAGCCACGGGACTGCTGAACAACTACAACATTTTGTGGTTGTAAATTAATATTGATAGCAGTTGGAAGACTGTAGGGTGAAAACATTGATCCCAGCTGCTACCTCTGACATACACATTCCAGGAGACTTAAAATCAAACACTGGTTTACTACAAAGAAAATTTCTCCTGAGTAGCTAACAACAAGGCTTTATAGGCAGTGGTTTAGATGTACCTAAATACTGGGGGGGGGGGAGAAAGAATTTTAATGATTTAAATTTCATTTACACAGTAATCAGCTGGAATTCTCCACATTTTTTATTTTCAGAAGTCATTTATTCTCCAAAAGCTACTTAATGAAAAAACCAAAGCCAGCAAGCCAAGAGCACCCAGAAAGCTTGAGGGAACTGGTGATTCCCCCAGGTAGGAGTTTGTTCTCCAGCAGTGGGAGCTCTGGTACAGGTTTCCTCAACTCACAACCCACCTTCATAAGATGTTCACATCCAAACATGAGCATTCAACCTTCTAGCAACGGCTTTTATGTTTCTATCTTCAACAGCAGCATTTTCTTCTTTACTGCCTTCCTTCCTATGTGTCGCTCTCCATCCTATCCCAAAAAGTCAGGGAGACCCCAAAAGGAAGCGTGCTGCAGATGGGAATTTCCCACTCCTGGTGAAAATGCCAGGTTCCCCCAGCCATGGGCTCATGTCCCAAATGGCACCTTTCCAGCCTGCCATTAACTGTCATGAGGGACCCTTTGTCTAGGGAGAGCCGCAGACAAAGGCAGCTTTGCAGCATGCAACGTTTCAGCAGTTAGGCTGAAGGGACAAGCAGCTTCTTCAGGCAAGAAAATTACAGAGCTCATTTCAGCCTCTCTAAATAACGAAAGAACAATGGAGGGACAGATTATTCCATTATTTATGCACCCAAATCTCTCTCGTACACACATCCTATGCATCTGGAATAAAAGCCATGCCACCAAATGCCTAGCTGGCAGAAAACAAGCTTTCCTTCAGTGAGAAGGGTAAAAAAGGATGACAAGCGTTTTGGGGAAAAGAAGATAAGCAAGGCAAAAGGATTTTTAATCTTCCAAAGCATTCCCCGTGCTTTTCAAGATCTGGCCCCAGCAGTTTCCATCCCATTTCATTCCTTGGAGAAGAATGGTCAATTTTCATTACTGGCTTTTGAACAGCTAAGCCTGACAAGACGAGCTCAGAGCCAGGAGGTCTGCTCAGACCGAGTATCAGCAAAGCACCAGCTGTGACCAAGAGGATCAGCACCCTTCTCCAGCAAGCCAGGGAATGCTTTGAGGCCTTGGATAGCTAAGGAAGAGACACTGTATGGCTAGAGACACTGCTTCAGTTGGCAAGGGAAACCTGTGGATGGCACAGACAAGGGGGAATTTTACCCTTCCCTATAGCAAGCATATGGGCCACATTTTCTTGCCTAGAATTTTCCTACTCATCTTACTTCAGGTGAATTGGGAATTACTCTAAGATGGTTATTTTTGGGGAGTAAAACATCACTTAACATTAACAAAGGTATTAGATGTGGTCTGCTTTTTTGTTCCTCAAATTTACTAATAGACTTTTCTAGCACCCACGCTCTCTCCAACAGCTTATCTGTGGCAAAGATTCAAAGCACAGCAGCTTCAAATTCGGGCCTAAAGTTGTATTACAGTGTTCTAAGAGGAATCATTGTTTCTCATCAACTAATTGCAGTCAAAACTTTAAAGCACGTAAGTCACTGAGATCTACAGGGTTTTTACTACCTATATATGTTTTCCCAGCACAGGTTTCTTATTCAACTTACAGATCCATACGTGGTAGATTCTCTTCACCAGAGACTGATAATCGATGGGAATTTCATCAGCAAAATTCTGGTAGAAACATGGTTTCAGTGGGATGAACTTGGGGAGCGGTGGGAAGTTATTCACCTTTTCTGCAACAGAGAACACAGAGGTTAGCTGAATGCAGAAACATTCTGAGGGTTGAGCAACAGCCTCTGCACCTTTCCAGGACACGTCCATGAAACCTCAGGTTGAGGGGTCTCATAAAAACCAAGAGGAACCATAGCCAGCTCTGGCCATTCATGTTACTCACTGCAGCATGTTCATCCTCACCCTGGGGACCAAACCTTTGGTTCTTCCTCAGCAGTGAACAGCAGCGCATGCAAGGCTTGGAGTGAGGAACAGAGGTGAGCTAATAAGTAACACGTGGATTGGATACCTTTACACATCCGTGTAAAGTTGTGCCAAATGTGCTGCAAGACAAAAACCTTCAAGTAAGCCCCAGGAAGGGGGAGATGCCAGCAACATCTGGGGAAACAAACTGCACAGAGGTGTTGAGTTCCAGCCTCAGAAAACCAAAGCAAGAGGAAAGGCTGGCAATTGCCCAGACAAGCAGACTGACCTTCAGACACAAGCTCTGAGTAGGTAGGCTTGCTGGTGCATGGATCAGACCTTAGGACCTGTAATAGCTATGTCCCTATAACAGTAGGAAGGGTGCCTTTGGGAAGCATCTCGAACTGGGATTTAGCACTCGGACATGATCCCGTTCAGGGAAGACAAGTCAGGTGTCAGGGATGATTTTGTTGTGACAAGACTCTTTAAAAGTCAAGTTTTTCTGTCAGGTTAAGCCCCAGGAAAAATGAAATAAATGTATAAACCCTAAAAAAAAAAGCTTTGCATGCAGATACAATAAATCAGCAAACACTGACAAAAGTGAGATGGTGAAGAAAGCCTTACCTTGGAAAGAAACTGGGGTTTAAAATCAAGTCATTAAATGCCTTTGGCCTCTGTATTTAAGCTGCCGTCAGCTTGCAGCCAGATGCGTAGATCTGGGCCGTACATGTGCCTGGATGTGTGTTTCTACACGTTAGGGAATGTTTGCTCTTGCCTTCCAGTGCTGATTAAAGTCTGATTGCAGGGCATTGGGACTAATTGTCTCTAGTCTACTTCAGCCCCAGTAAACAGAATGAAAAACAACCAGAGGAGGAGATGAAGAATGTCCTGGGAAAACCTCCAAATGGCACAGAAGACAAGAGGAAATGTCTGAACAAGAACTGTCAGCACAAGAGTTCCCCTTCTCTTGCCATTATCTCTGTGTGAACAGATATTTAGCAGGAGCAGCTCCTGAGCCTCATTTGAAGGTTGGCAGGGAAGAACCTAAAGCTGCTTTAGGAAAGAAAAGGCTTTTCTTCATGCAAAGGACAGGCACATTTTCACACAGAAAACATGAGGAGGAGAACGCCCACTGTGAGTACATCAGAACTAAATACGGAATCCTGGCTGAAGTCACCAGCCCAGTTTGGCTTTTCAGTAGACTTTTCCTTATCAAAATAAACACGAAGTCTTCTGTGGCTCCTCACCCATCTCCACTCAATGCATTTCACATTGAGATTCCTCCTAAAGTTACAGGTTAACAGATACTGCTGACCCCATCACAGGTAGTGCTGATGTTCCATGGCTGCTTTCAAAGTCCATAGGAATTTTTGGTCTCCTGAGCACTAATTTTCTGTTTGCTATAAACACCTAATGGGCTTTCTCCTGGATTGTCTGTCTCAGCAGCATAGAAAAGGACATACCAATGCTGGATCAAAGGACAGGAAAGGAAGGGGCACAGCTTTTAAAGCTCTCTGGGGAGGTCAGTATGACCAAATCCAACTGAGGGCTGGGCTTGTTCTGCCTGGAGAAGAGAAGGCTCCAGGGAGAACTTAGAGCAGCTCCAGTGCCTAAAGGGGCTGCAGGAAACCTGGAGAGGGGCTTTGGACAAGGGCCTGTAGGGACAGGACAAGGGAATGGCTTGAACCTGCCCGAGGGGAGAGTGAGATGAGCTCTTAGGCAGAAGCTCTTCCCTGGGAGGGTGCTGAGGCGCTGGCACAGGGTGCCCAGAGAAGCTGTGGCTGCCCCATCCCTGGCAGTGTTCAAGGCCAGGTTGGACACAGGGGCTTGGAGCAAGCTGCTCTATGGAAGGGGTCCCTGCCCGTGGCAGGGGTTGGAGCTGGAGGAGCTTTAAGGTCCCTTCCAGCCCAAACCAGTCTGGGACTCTGTGACTCTAAGATGAACTGACCAAAGGACAAGCAGATTTTCTAACAATCATCTTTTTTGAATTTTTTTTTTCTCCCTCCATTGCCATATTTTGAGATCTCTTACCTGCCATTTCTATTAGGAGTGCGCCCTAGTGAAGTTTCAGACAGAGAGCAACAGATCTACGGGAGAAAGAAAATCAGGTCAGCACAATACCTAAAGGGGGCCAACAAGAAATCTGGAGGGACATTTTACAGAGGCATGCAGTGACGAGACAGGGGGAATGGCTTGAACCTGCCAGAGGGGAGACTGAGATGAGCTCTTAGGCAGAAGCTCTTCCCTGGGAGGGTGCTGAGGCGCTGGCACAGGGTGCCCAGAGAAGCTGTGGCTGCCCCATCCCTGGCAGTGTTCAAGGCCAGGTTGGACACAGGGGCTTGGAGCAAGCTGCTCTAGTGGAAGGTGTCCCTGCCCATGGCAAGGGGGTTGGAACTGGATGAGCTTTAAGGTCCCCTCCAATCCAAACCATTCCATGGTTCTATCCCTAACCCAAAGACTCTCCCAGAACCAGGAGCATCACCGGTGCAGTTTGATAGATTGTGAGCCCAGGGTTCCCACTACAAATTGCTCATCCCCAGTTGCTCAAAAGCACAGTGGAACCTCACAGAAAGGATCACAGTTCCTCCTTGTTCATATGAAGCACCACCTGGTAGCATCTCATTCAACACAACCCCACTGTCAACCACTTTTAAGGCTTGTTTTACTCAGCAGCAAACAACTGTGCTCTTAGCAGTACCTGGCAAAGGTTGAGAATGAACAGAGAGCCACTGCCAGAACACATGTACCTTCTGGCTGCAGCCAGACAACAAGCTGAGACAGACAGGTCTGGGTGGGACGCAGCAAAGCCCATACACTGGCAGAGAAACCTGCACGAGTTCACCAGACTTAATGTCTCATTTAGGGGTTGAGATGTTGTGTTGGCTCCTGGCCCTCTGTGGACCTTCCCACTGCTGAAACAAACAGATAATCACTGTTAGCCAGGAAGTCGACTGTTAAAAAAGAATCAGCTGGGACACAAACCCCATCAACCTCATTACTTTAATAATTCTGCACAAACCCTTCTTTTTAAATGCAGATTCATTCTTCCTGTCACCACCACTGAACATGACCATCATTCTGGAAGAATCGAATCATGCAAAGTTTACTCAGCATCAGCCGTGTCGCTGATTTTGGCAGAGCTGAACACACAGATGAAAGCCGCAAAGGTCTGTGCTGAGCTTTGATTCTACCCCTTCTTCCTAAGGATAAAGGCATCATGTGCGCCTACCTGCAAATCCCAGAATTCCACAAACCAACCCCCTAATCCAGCACTACAGGACTGGCAGGAGTTATCCAGAATGAAGGAAGTCTAGACTGAAACCTGCCCCTACAAAAACACAACGAACACCCCACGCTGCTGCCAGCACTGAGGTCAGAATAGCTGCACTGCATCCAAAGCCCCTGGGATTTACAGCAGCTCATTCCCCTTTCCTGCACCTCTGTGCCCCATGCATGGTTGGGAGGTTGCAGAGTTTACACTGGCACAATCACATTGTTGGGGTTGAATTTACTTTCCTTTTTAACTGAGCTGCTGGAGCACAGTCCTTGGTGGAAACAATGGCACTCTGATGAGAAGTGCCACCTGTACAGGCAGCTTGTTCTTCCTGTACGTAGAGATGCAGTTATATCTAAGCTTTATGTCTACAGAGAGGATAACACATTAGTTTGCCTGTACCAGTTTAAAACAAGCAATAATGTGGACAGGATTGCTATGGCACTCGTGAGCTGCTCACGGCTAGGGCATTCCCTGGGGAACGCTGCAGCCTCTGGCTTTCACACAACACAGACAGGAAATTTCCCTGTGTGGCTTAAACAACTTCAAGTCAAGCTCCAGCTGTAAGGTCCTGGCATAAGGAAACAGATTCACAGCAAATACAGGTACAGAAATAGGTATCACCCCCCACACATGAACTTGTGCAAGATACATCTAAACAAGCTCTCTATTTACTGGATCATTTTCTGTTTAACTGGGAATAGAGAAAACCCAACATCCCGCGCTCCAGAGATTTCTTTATCTATATCCCACAGCGAGGAATGAGGGAAAAACCACACATACCCCAAGGAAAGCAGTGTGTGAAGTGAGCTTCCTTTTCCCACTGTGCTCATGCGCACTCAATGAATAGCTCTAAAGTTTACAGGCCAAGGCACATGACTCACAAGAGCCCACTGGAGACAGTGGGAGCTTTTCTTCCCCAGTGGTTCAAAGACAAAACTGCCCTGTGCCATTCCAAGGGGCAGCGCTTCCCTTTTAAACCCAGCCCCGTGTGCACGCAGCAGTTTTTCCAGGCAGACAAGGACACGATGCCCTGGAGTGTGATTTTTTGTGTGAAACACGTTTCACCAGCTGAGATGAGGCAAGATTCTGTGAGGGAATGCCCGCGGCAGTCTGCTGAGGCACATGATATGAATGCATGGATGTTGCTGTTTGTTTAGCCTGTTGATATTATAGTGAGCAGTCTCCTAAAAGAGAAGAACGTGGTAGGAGAAATACATAAAGGACAGACCAAAGGGAGAGTTCTGCCAGGGAGGTGGGAGAGCTGAGCTCATTCCTGCTCTGCCATAAACCCGCCTGGTCACCTAAGACCAGATTTACAAGACACCGGCTCCTCTCTTGCCACCTGCAGCCAAACTCATCCCGACGGCCTATGCTTTCCATGCACCAAATCCACCAGCTTCTCAAGTCTTGCTTTAGGCTATTTTCTGCACTGCTTTTAGGTTTTCATTCTGGTACGATGAACGCGGCGAGGTCAAGAGCTTCTACGCAGATCTGTCCCCAAGGGTTTAATCCAGAAGCAAATCAAGGGGCAGGATCTGTACATAACAGCAACGGCAGAAGAGCTTGCCAACACTCCCTCATAGAGACAATGATTTCATGATTAAAGCACAAGCATTATAAGAAGACCTTGGGCAAAACACACATCTCCTGAAGTGCTTCGTGCTAGAGAGAGCAACCACCAGAGCCAGGCTTTTGGAAAAGCAAATGCCCTAAAAGCAAAGGCACCTGCAGGGATGTGGGAGACGTGGATTTGAAACCATCAGACTCAGCAGAGAACCAGCACAGCCTGCAGTGTTCCCAAGACAAGCCAGTGCCTTGCTTGTATTCCTCTCCAGGGGCATTTAAAAACGAAGCAGTGACTCTGCCCTGGTTTTAAGAGAAAAGGCTGGGTCTGAGTCTCATTCAGATGCCCAACTCTTACCAGGCCAGCCCAGAGAGGCCAAGGCAGCAGAGGTCACACTCTACAAGACACCAAAATGCTTGGCTCAGCTTTATGAGCCGAGACTTTGTAGAGCTATGGCAGCACTGCTGCTGAGAAAATGCACAGGAAACAATGAAGTTCGCAGGGTCAGTGTCCTCCCATGTCAGCCTGGCACACAGCTCCCTGTTACCAGAGCATCCTGCCTGCACAGGGTGTTTTGCTGCCTCCCTTTCCCCCACCCTGGAGCAGAGGGGCAGAAGCCTTAATAAGGTACTATGGAACCCACAGCAGACAAATACTGACTGTGGTACAAGTGCTTCAGAAGCAAAGCTTGGTGGCTGAGGGTCAGAACTGCAGAAGGCTCAAGAAGCATTCAGGGCTGCATTGGATGGGGATTTGAGCAACCTGGTCCAGTGGAAGGTGTCCCTGCCTGTGGCAGGGGGGTGGAACTCGATGATCTTTAAGGTTCCTTCCAACCCAAACTATTATATACATAAAAGACAGAAAGCACAAAACACACATGTTCAGGACACAAGCCTATTCCACCACTTGGAGTGGCCTCACACTAAACACCTGGGCTGCAGACAGCAGCACCAGCAGTTCCATCACTCACATGAACTGCCCCTGTGACCGGCCTGCGTTTACCCTGCCTTGTCCCCTTGGGGGTCCCGAGACCCCCAAGCGCCGGCCCTGATGTCCCGGTGGGTTCCTCACAGGGCCGGGGCAGATTCCCGAGCACCCTCCGGAGAGGACGGAGCGCAGCGGGGTGCTCCCAGCGGGGTCGGCAGCCGCCTCCATACCCCCGCCACCACGCTCGGAGAGGGGGCACGGGGACCCGCCTGCAGCACGGCCCGCACACGCTGGCCCCGATCGCTGCTCCCAGCGGGGCTGACCCCAATGCCGCTCCCCGCCAGGGCTGGCCCCGATTCCCCTCCCCACAAGCGCCTTCCCCCCGGGGCCTGTCCCCGAGGCCTCCCCTCCATCGCCCCTCACCGCTGCTGCCCCCAGCGCTGCCCCCGCTCCGACGGGACCCCCCCTCGGCAGGCCCCGTGCCGAGGTACCTCCGTTACCGCCCGCTCCTCCCAGGCCAGGCCGAGGCACCGCGGCCCGCCCGGTCCCCCCCCGACCCCATCGCCCCCCAGGCTCAGCCCCGACCCGGCGCTCACCGCTCTCCCCTCAAGCCGCAGCGCCAAGACCCAGCTCCGGCGGGCTCGCCGCGGGGCGCGCTGGGAAATAGAGTCCCGGCAATGGCCGCCGGCCCGGCGCTCCCCGCGGCGTGGACTACACTTCCCAGCGTGCCCCGCGGCGCGCCCCCCCCTCCCAACACCACACGTCACGTGAGAGAACGGCCGGGATGGGGCGCGGCGGAGGTTGCTACGGCGGCCGGGAGGGGCTGGGCATGGAGTCAGAGAGCGAACCGGGGCGGAACGGAGCGTCAGGAGCATCAAATCCAACCGGTCCCAGCAGTGCCAAGGCCACCCCTGACCCATGGCACTGAGGCCTCGTCTCCACGGGGTGTGAACACTTGCAGGGACGGTGCCTGCAGCCCTGCCCTGGGCAGCCTGTTCCAATGCCTGAGCACCCTCTGGGGCAGGAATTGTTCCTCAGCTCCATCTAAACCTGCCCTGGTGCAGCTTGAGGCCGTTTCCTCTTGTCCCATCCCTTGTTCCTTGGGAGCAGAGCCCAGCCCCTCCTGGCTCCGCCCCCCTGGCAGGCAGTTGTAGGGAGCCATCAGGTCCCCCCTGAGCCTTCTCTTCTCCATCTGAACCTCCCCAGGTCCCTCAGCCGTTCCCCATCACACTTGGGCTCCAGGCCCTGCTCCAGCTCCAGTGCCCTTCTCTGGCCCCGCTCCAGCACCTCAATGTCTCTCTTGCAGTGAGGGGACAGAACTGAGCACAGGATTCAAGGTGCGGCCTCACCAGTGCCCAGCACAGGGGCACAATCCCTGCCCTGGCCCTGCTGGTCTCAGGTCCTCATCACCCCATCCCCTCCGTACCCCTTCACACCAAGCACAGAGCTGGGGGGCTGCTGCCACCGTGCTGGCGGTCTGGGCACACAGGGGGTTTGGGACAGGGTGCAGCACCCTCAGGGGACGCACCAGCACCGAGCTGCTCCTGAGCCACGTGCGGGCTCCATCTCCAACAGCGTTACAGCAGCCAGCAGCCAGCTCTCACCACGGCTTGGCTCCAGGGTTAGTTACAGCAGTTCAGAGGATCATTACATTATGTCTGAGCAAACGCTGAGGCCTTCACACCCCAAGTCTGCAAAGTGTCCCTAAAATACAGGTCTTGGGGCTCGCTGCTTGTGTTCAGCCCCAGCTTTGCTGAGGTTTGCTCCCCAAAACAGGCACAGGCAGTGGCACTGGCTGCAGTACGGGCCAGCTGGGCGGATGTTTTGGGAGGCCTCCTGTCTCCATCCGTTGAGAAACATCATCCAGGGAGACCTTAGAGCAGCTCCAGTGCCTAAAGGGGCTGCAGGAAACCTGGAGGGGGGCTTGGGACAAGGGACAAGGGACTGGCTTGAACCTGCCAGAGGGGAGACTGAGATGAGCTCTGAGGCAGAAGCTCTTCCGTGTGAGGGTGCTGAGGTGCTGGCACAGGGTGCCCAGAGAAGCTGTGGCTGCCCCATCCCTGGCAGTGTTCAAGGGCAGGTTGGACACAGGGGCTTGGAGCAAGCTGCTCCAGTGGAAGGGGTCCCTGCCCGTGGCACTGGATGAGCTTTAAGATCCCTTCCAGCCTAAACCATTCCATTATCACAGACACGCGGGGAATATTCCAGCTATAAACCAGTAGAGGTCACTCCGCCCCAGTAAATCCAGCGCTGCTGGAGACGTGTGGCCAACAGCAGAGATGAGGCAGTGGGGGGAAGGTGATGGACAGTGGGATGGCAAAACCCAAGGACGGGGATATCGGCTACCCAGAGCACCCCAATGCAGGCAGCTCCCGTCCTCGCTGTGCTCCATGTGGGACGGACACACTCGGGTGGTCCCATCCTGCTGCTGCTTGGTGTTTGGTGTTCCAGGGTCCTGCAGAGCCCGTTCGTCCGCTGCTGTTAACAGTGGAACTGAAAGTTCATTTTCCACAAACACGGTTGAAGGAGTAGCTTTTTGCAAGGATTTTTAAAGCAGATTTCCCGAGTTTTATTGATTTCATTAAACTTAAATAAATTGAGCTGACTTCGTTTTATTTAGTTCTTTGCTTTGCTTTAAAAAAATAGAAATTACAATCTTACACGATGAGCTCATGGCGAAAATGTGTTCGTTGCTGTTCCCATCTCTTGGTAGCAGCCAGGTTTTATCCCGCGATATAGAAACTCTGCACGTGGGACCCGTGAGGAGGACGTGTGCTGATCCTGGGCACGGCAGAACAGCACCGTTGTGGAGCTGGTGAGGTGAGGCCGAGGATTTACTGAGCCTGCAAGTTACCTGCAGGTACAAGGATTCCTTCGCATTGCTCTGCTCCACAGCTCCAAACAGCTCCCAACAGATCCTGATGGTGCTGAGGGACTCAGCTGCTCTGGATTTGCACAGGGAGTGTGCCCCCAGGTGAGGCAGAGGGGAATCAGGATGAGCTTTGCATGCTTAATACCCAGAGGTACCTTTGAACTGTCTGCATCCTGATGGAGAGGAGTCCTCGCATTGCAGTCCTAGCATCCTTTTATCCGGGGCGTGCATCTTCCTTCCCTCCCTCCTGGGCCTGGGCACTGTTTGAATCCATGTACCCTCTGGCCCAGAATGGGTCCCCAGCACAGCCAGGTGCTTGGTGCTGCTTGAACAGGTTTCCTAGATGAAGTCCCTCCTGGATCTTGGGTCTCCCTTGGAATGCTCTGGCTGGAGGATGATGCACAGTGCTTGGGAAGCACTTGCAAGGGCTCTGAACCCATGGCAGACAAACCCCACCTCTTCCCCTGCTCACACCAGCGTGTGCCTGCCTTTAAGTGAACCAAGAACCGTCGAATCCCAGCCTGGTTTGGGTTGAAGGGACCTCAAAGCTCACCCAGCTCCAACCCCTGCCACGGGCAGGGACATCTTCCACTAGAGCAGCTTGCTCCAACCACTCTCACCCTTGGCTAGAGTCTGGAATCCCAGTCACTGTTCCCAACATTATTCATTTTGTTACCTGCTAAAACAGACTTTATTTCAATTCCTGTGAATTCTGTGCAGTACACATCGCTAAACCTATAGAACACACCTCAAAACGAAAGGGTTGGGTTGGTTGTTTCTTTTGTCCATACATTATATTACTTTTTATTGAATGTCATCCAAAATCCAGACAACACCTTTGTCCTTAAATAAACGTTTCTCCCTCCCCTGCCCTCCCTTCCAAGCTGACTGGTCCGAAAGAGGACGTTTTATTTAGTTCTTTGCTTTGCTTTAAAAAAATAGAAATTACAATCTTACACGACAGAACATTCCATGAGAACAGAAGCATCTGCCTACATCTAAAAACAGTTCCAGAAAACCTGTTGGTATCTACAGGTAGGTGGGTGTGGAGGGTGCTGAACGGAAAGAAAAGTGGTTTCCATTCCTTCCTTTCATTCATAGAGATAAAAAAAGAACATAAAACCGACCGAAACTTTAGATAGTTTTCTCTTTTGCACCAACATTCACAAGAATATATTATATATATATATATATTTTATCCATTTTTATACACAGTGTGAGGGTTCTGGAGGTGGAAATGCACACTCAGCTAAACTGCCAGAGCGAACAAACACAAAATGCATCTGTGTCTGGACAAGAGCCATCCCTGGCGCTGAGGCTGCCCCGCTCACAGGAACCACCGGACATCACAGGTCAGCGCGATGGCAACGACCCCGAGACACCAAGGACCCGAAGCTGGGGGGCTGGGGGCTCCCATCCATCATCTCCCCCAGCCCCACGCAGCTCCGGTGCAGGGAGAGTGGAAATCTCCCTTTTCCAGGCAATTTCTACCCAGGGTTTTCCATTCGCTCCTTCCCTACAAGCTCGATGCCTGCCTCTGCAGAGCCACTGCTCTCGGTGGCACAGGGCGAGCGTGAGGGACCTTGGCACAGCCACCGTGGCTGAAAGCAGGGGCTGCAGCCCCAGAGGTGCTCCGGGGGTCCCTGTCACCCCTTCCAACGCGTGCCACCCGTGCCAGGCAGGAGACAAGTCGGTTCCTGTAAAGAGAACTTCAAAGTGCAGGTTCCCACAGTTTGGCAGGTTGAGTTACACACGTTTAATGCTTCGAGTCTTCCCAAGATTCCCCATAGGAATCCCTTATTGCTCAGAATCCCGAATCTCTCCCGTGAGGTGGGTGCTGTGGCAAGGGCTCCGTCTTCTCCCGATTTAAGGTGCTTTCTTGGTTTCTTTGCCAGATGAAATGAGAACAGTGACATTGACCATTGGTGCATGTTGGCTGACGGATGCTGAGGACATAAATAAAGGTGTGTGTGCTTCCCCCCCCCCAAGCATTTCAAACCACCCGAGGCTGTTTCCTCCAAGGGAGTGCTGCTGTCCTGCAGAAACAGGGGGCAAGACCCCCTTCCTCAAAGCACATTGGTCTTCTTGAGTGCTTTTCCCTGCAGAGAGGAGCCAGGAAGCGAACGGTGCTGTCAGAAATGATGCTTCAGGAAAAGGCACAACCCTCTAGATGAACAAGGCAGTGCTGACTTCTCACTCCTCTCCAAGCCTTTAGGATCCAAGAGGGTCAGGAAACAAGCACGGTGCATCCCCACCCCGGCGAACACTGCACTGGAGAACAACACATTGGCACTCAGCATCAGCAACCTTCACCAGGGACCTGGGCTCCAGTGCCTTTGGGAGGAGAAACAAGGCTGACCAACTCCAATATGCTCTGAGAAGCAGTTCAGACAGTGGTTAGCAAAACCAGAAAGCACAGGGCTGTATGTGGTGGGTGGCAGCTGCCAGGGAATAGCACGGTCCCTAAATTTTCTCTGCCTTATACCAAAGCAAAAATCCCATTGGTTTCCTGGTGAGCCTTTCCTGGTTAAGGTTGGTCCACGGTTTTCCATAGGTCTTTAAACTGAAAACATGAATATCCCCTACATGGCTAAGAAAGCTGCTCGCTTAGTTTAAGGGATGCAGTTATGGAACTGAAGGTCTTCGGCTCACACTTGGAGATGATCTGAGCTGCCAGAGGACAGCGTTGGACGCACGAGGAATCAACGTGAAGCAGGGATGGGGCTTGGGATTTTAGCCCTTTGTCAGCAGAAACGGGGGCTGCCTCAGAGCAGGTTTTTTCCCTATAGCTTTTGGCATTTGCTGTAGGACAAACAGGAACAGGGACAGAAAAACCATGTGCAGAGCCTGGCCATGGAGTCCCTCAAGTGTCCCTGCCGGCTGTGGGCTATCGCAGCATCACCCCTTCTTCACCTTCTGAGCCTCCCAAGCTCAGAGCAGCAGGTCCTGACCACTCCAGGGAAGGAATAAGGACCTTTCACTTCCCCTTGACCCCAATGGGCAGTTTCTCCTCCTAAAAAGCTCCCAGGTCCTGCTAAATAGAGAACAAGCCCCAACATAACAGAGCTCCTTGGAGTGAAAGCCTGAGTCCAGCTCAACCTGCAACAGCAGCCATGGCCATGCTTCCAATGGTCCCAGCGTGGGAACTGGGGACCTGGCTGTGGGCTGGGCAGAGGAAAGGCCACAAAACCTCCTCTGGGTGCTGAGCTGTGGGTCTCGATAAGAGAGCCAGCACCAAAAGAGCCCCTGCCTGCTCCGACGCGCAGTCAGGCACCGAGCCCCTGTGCCTGCATCCCTGCCTGCAGCTGCCTCCCCGGGTGCAGCAGCCACAGTCCCAAGGGCAAAGCCCCTCCTCGGAAAGCACTTGGGATGCAGAAAGGTGGCAGGAGGCGGGTGGATGTGCCGGATCAGCTCCAAGCACCAGCTGGATGGGCGTTTGGGAGAATGCCGCGACGGAGGGCATGGAGACCTGCAGAGCTCGCCTCCTTCATGGGAAAATCCTGTGCTAAATCCCACCCTGAGCCACAGCCAAGCTCCTGAGGTCATCCCATGTCCTATGGGCTCACTGCACCCGTGGGAGAAGGAATAAAGCAAAGGCTCTGCCTTCACCCTCTCTTTGGCTCCAGGTGGGAGCCCAAAGCTGCCGCCACCGACCTGGCTCACTCCCGGCCAGCCAGGTCTGCGTTGCCCCTTCTTTATCCCACGCCTTGTGTTTGGGTAATAAAAAAATAAAATAAAATAAAAACAATACTTAAAAGTAAAAAATAAAACCCAGGGGTGGAGAAAGCAGCCAGGACAGCGGGCAGGGCCGTGCCGCTCCCTCCTCCTGTGCTGCCTGGAGGAGCCGGTCCCTTACCACTGCCAGGAGCATCTCCTCTCCCGAGCAGGGATTTCACATTCATTTCACTGGTATGGCAAAGTCCGTTTGCTTTTTCCTTCAAGGTGCTTTACATTCAAGAGCTATCGCAATCCACAGCGAGGAAAATGGGGCTGGGATATACCCCAGCCCCCGGGGTTCTCTTGAGTTTGATTATTTGACTTAAATAAACTTCCCCAAACCTCTGAAGTTTAGTTTGCTTCCAAGTTCTGGGGAACTCGAAGAGGGCCGGTGGCTCCCAGCTTTAGCTCTCCCGTGGGTCACTGTACTGCAGCTCCGAGTTGAAGACCTCCTTATAGAGGGGTGGGAAGTTCATGGCAGTCTCCGGGTGCAGGAGACGGAAAAACTCCAGCTTGTCCAAGTGCAGGTTGCAAATGGTCTTCATCAAGGGCAGCTTGGAAACCATCTGCAGGGAAAGGAGGAGCTGGTGGCCATGGGGGTCCTGGTTAAGATCCTTTCCCTTGGGGACAAGCAGGTGGGTTTGGGGACCACTGGCACCGTGCACAACTTCCACCGTTGGGCAGCCTGGCAGCAGTGTGGCTTTGCCTCCCAACCCACATCTTTCTGCAGGACAACCAGACCCAAGGAGCCCTCAATGTCCCACTCTCCATCCCAGCTCCATCCTGCCCAAAGCGTTCCTGAACTGGCTCCTTTTGCTCCAAACACCCGCTGCCCGACACACTGCCAGGTCCAGTGGCACGGGGCTGCCTGCGGTGAGGATGCCTCTGCCTGCACTGCAACGGAGATGCAGGGCCTGTGCAAAGGGAAATTCTCCTTCCACAGGTCCCAGGGCTCACTGCCCATGCGTGGCTCATGAGCTCCAGCACAGCCACCTCCACCAGTTGAGACGCCTCCCCTTGCCCCAACCTGGCTCCATGCATGCATCACCACTACCTTCGAGAGCTTGTCCTCAGCGGAGTGTTTCTTCTGGATCTCGTGCTGCAGGGCCACGTAGATCTTGTCCTGGAGCTTCTGCACCTTCTTGGACTCGGTCAGCCAGGGCCGATCTGCAGGAGACAGCAGGTCAGAAACAGCACGGGGGTCTCCCCCAGCCTCCTTCCTTTAAGTCACCCACCAAGGAAGCAGCACTGAGATGTATGGGTGCTCTCTCCCCAGCTTTGGCACGAGGCACCCCCCTCCCCGGCTGCAGGGTCCCCCCATACCCGGGGAGAGCAGGACGGCGGCGGTGAAGAGGGCGAGCTCCTCATCCGATAGCTGCAGGCGGCACAGGGTCCTCCCCAGCTCAAAGACGGCACCGATGAGGTCGTCACAGCCTGATGGGGGACAGCAGGGAAGAGGGGGACGTCACCCCCGGCAGCACCCGAGGCTCGGAAAGCTTTCGGAAGATGAGATGGGTGAAGGGGGGTCCCCAGCATCGCGGGGCTTCAGACCAGGGCAGAAAGCGCGTCCCAACCACGGCGCACGTCAACCCCATCCCAACGGGAGTGTGGGGGGCAAACGCAGCAGGGTCTCACCCGCCCAGCCATGGGGATGCTGCTTTTCACCCAGCCCTGTCCGGGTGGCAGAAGGAGAGGAAAAGGGGAGGAGAGCCCTGAGAGGCTCTTACCGAGGGACTTGAACATCTGCATGCCTCCAAACTTCCCCTCGAAGAGCACGGTGTTGTTCAAGGGGTTGAAGGCGCGGATCATGCGGATCAGGAGCACCTCGAGGCAACCTGACATAGGCAGAGAGAGCGCAGACAAGGGCAGGGGGTTTCCATCATCCCAGGACCAAATATAAGGCAGAAGAAAGCCCGCAGGGCAGGTTTGAAGTCCATTCCCAAGAGCAGAATGATGATTTCCAATAAATCCCAGTTGGGGGGGTTGGTTTTTGGGGTGTTTTTTTTATGTTTAGGTTTCCAATCGTGACCACAATATTTCACCAAAGGGAAATAAGATCCATCATTTGCAGCCGGCCAGAGAGATCCATCAAGGTCGTGGTGGAGCACCGAAAGGGGAAGAGGGTGAAAACAAAAGACATGGAAAGGAAATGGAAGGGAGAAAGGAAAGGATGAGTTAAACTCCAGTGCGTCGGGCATGGCCAGCTCTGGCTTTGGGATACAGCACCCTGCCGGGATGCTGGCACATGTCTCCCTCTGCCCTTAGCTCCCCAGCCCTCAACACTTAGGAACTAGGAGGGTTTCCATTGTTTTAGGCATGTGGGGGCTTTTGCACATTGAGCTCCCTGGCCAGGCAGACTGGGGGGACACGGGTGTGCGCTGCTGTTGTCCTCCTCTCCCCAGTGTCTTGCCAGGAGAAGAGGCCAATCCTTTCCTCTTCTCCCTCCCAGCACAGCTTGTCCTGGTGGGAAACCAAGTGTGCTCATTTCCATCCCAGGTTCTGAGGGACATTTACTTGAGGGTGCCCCTGGAGAAAAGGCTCTGCCTGGAGTGGCCGCTCCTCACATCCCTCTCTATCCCATCACCTTTAAACACGACCTTCAACTCCTTCTAGCCCAGCACCTGCTCCCCAGGCACTGATTTTAAGCCAGGAGGCAACCAGGGTGGAGGAGAGATCCTGAAAGGCAAGCACTAGCCAAGAGGAAAGATGGGATATACATATCCTTCTAGTGCCTAAAGGGACTGCAGGAAACCTGGAGAGGGGCTTGGGACAAGGGCCTGTAGGGACAGACCAAGGGGAATGGCTTGAACCTGCCAGAGGGGAGACTGAGATGAGCTCTTAGGCAGAAGCTCTTCACTGGGAGGGTGCTGAGGTGCTGGCACAGGGTGCCCAGAGAAGCTGTGGCTGCCCCATCCCTGGCAGTGCCCAAGGCCAGGTTGGACACAGGGGCTTGGAGCAAGCTGCTCCAGTGGAAGGGGTTCCTGCCCGTGGCAGGGCTTGGAGCTGGAGGAGCTTTAAGGTCCCTTCCAACATAAATCATTCAGTGATGATTCTATGATGAGCCTTTGGCCGCTGCTTGGGAGAGTTTTCGGGGTCATGAGGGGTCTGGCAGGGACAGGAGAGGGGCACGGCGGGGGCGCTGCTCTTACCGGCTTTCAGGAGGATGATTTGGTCGTTCTGGCAGAGCTCCATGAAGCCGTCGATGCGCTTGGCGAACTCCACCACGTACTGGATGGCGTTGGAGATCTGCAGCGAGCACTGCTGCCACATGGCCTCGCAGCTCTGCCGGAGAGCGGGCACAGCCCTTAGGGCTCCATCACCCCATCACCCCATCCACTGCCCCCCCCCATCCCACTGCACGGGGCAGGGAAGGGACCCAGGCCATCCGTGGTGGGTGCTGGCATGAGGACACCCAGGATGTGACTGCCACCGCATCCGCCTTCCAGTATTGGGCTTCAGCAGATCCTGGAGCAGTGATTGACCCTCCTCATCCTCCCCACCCTCACCCCTGCCTCAGCACAGCAGTGGCCCTTGCTGGGGGCTGCTGCAGCACTGGGGAGCCGTGGGGGCCACAGAGCAGTGCTCACCTTGCTCTGCAGAGCACGGACCTCCTCGGGGGAGTAGAGGCTCCACGCCAGGCGCTTGAGCTCCTCTGTTGTGTACTGGCACGTCTCCAGGTGGGACTTCACCACGTTCTGGGCCACCCGGTCTGCAAGGTGAGGGCAGTGCGGGGTGAGCCCCGGGGACCCCCAAGCCTCACACCCCAACACCGTCCTCTCCTGGGTCCTCCTTATGGGAGCTGCTGGGGCTGGAGGGGCTCATGCGTGGTGTGCCGGGGGTATGAGGACAGATGGGGCTGTTCCCAGAGCTCAGCCTGGAGGAGGGATGCGCTCGGGGCTGCTCTGAGAGCCGAGGCTGGGTCGGTGGCTTGTTGTGACCGTGCCCAGCACAATGTGGGCACCCAGGGCTGGATTCGTACTGGAAGGTGCCCGGGGCTGCAGCCAGCACCATGCCCAGGGCTGCACACCCCAAGCGTGCCCGGCCTCGCGCACCAACACTCACCGATCTCGAGGACGGAGATATCGGCCGCCAGCTGAGCACCCTCC